CTGATAAATTGCTGGTGCAACATTATGGAATGATTGGAGGAGTCTTCCACAACTAACTTTCTATAAAAGTCGTCTTACGAAGCCTGCCGCTGCACACGAAGAAGACTGATATTTTGGAGAGATGCCAAAATCAGACCGAGGATTTTCCTGCTTGAATAATTTATAGTTTTATTTTGTTTTGACTGAAATTCCTACATTTATTTTTGTTAGAAAAATGTTTCTTTGTTTTCTATATAGTTAAATAAACGCAATTAAGATTTGTTTTCACACTAGTTTTAATATTATCATGTCTGATTAATAAGTTGGAGAACTCAGATTGCTAAATTTTATTAATTTTATTTGAAAAACCATTTTTTTTTTTTAGCAAAATTGTTAGAGTTTTAGGTTTCTACTTAGTGGTTTTGCTTTTCTGTTCCTACGAAGCTGCTAGTGAAAAAAGCAGCTAATTTTCATTTACTGAACAATTTACTTTAAAGCATAGGACGAGTTTTGCAAATAATGGCCTCATTTAACTTACGGTTACAAAATTTTATAACAAATGTGGCCAAGATAAATTTCTGGAAACTATTATTAAAGGCTCAGATGGCATCACAATTGATATGATCCGTATAATACATAAGCATTTGCTCAAGTATATTACCTTCATTATTAACTTTTGTATAACAAATAATCTTTATCCCTCTTCCTGGAAGAATGCTCTTGTTCTCCCTCTGCCTAAATCTAATTATCCTTCAAGTTTTTCTGATCTTCGTCCTATAAGCATTTTACCAAGTTTATCTAAGCTTTTGGAAATGGCTCTACATGAGCAGCTGCACACATTTGTTTGTCAAAATAATTTACTGACCACCTCCCAATCTGGCTTCAGACTATTACATAGCACCACCACTGAGCTCCTGTCTTTATCGGATAATATTTATAGCGCGGCTGATCAAGGAAAGCTGTCCTGCTTAGTTCTTCTTGATTTAAGCAAGGCCTTCGATACGGTTGACCCAAATATTCTCTGTAAAAAGCTTAGATACTTTGGCCTGTCATCATCGGCTTGCACGCTGATTAAGAGCTTTTTAACTGATCGCTCACAGTCTGTCATATATGAAAACAATATATCAACTTCTTTATTCAGAAATTTTGGTGTCCCTCAAGGATCTATTTTGAGTCCCCTTTTATTTGCTCTTTATATATGTGATTTTCATGAAACCGCCAGCAACTCAATCGTTCATCATTACGCCGATGATACCCAACTTTATAACTGCTTCGATCCTGATGAATATATGCTTGGCCAACATCAAATAAATCAAGACCTGCAGTCTATTTTTGACATATCTAGTGCTCACAATCTAAAACTAAATCCTGGCAAATCATGCTGCATTTTATTTGGGCCCAAAAAGAATCGTGAAATAAATCAATATCGCATTAATATTATGGTGAATAATGAAGACATTTCCTTCGTAAACGAATGCAAAAACCTTGGTATCTGGTTTGACTGCAAGCTACGCTTCACTAAACATGTTAACCAACTATGCAATGCGTCCTATAATGTGCTTCGTCAGTTATACCCGAGTCGAAGTGTCCTGTCGACACAGCTCAAGCTTAAACTCTGCGAGTCCCTTATCCTGTCAAAATTATCTTACGGTGACTCTGTTTATGGACCTGCTCTTTTACAACGTGATGCCGAGCGGATTCAGATGATACAAAACTCATGCATCAGATTTTCTTATGGAATCCGTAAATTTGATCATATTAGTAGCGCTTTTGACCAATCGGGATGGTTTAAGATGAACAAATTGAGGAAACTGCATTGCCTATCTCTGGTACATAAGACTCTTATCCTTAAAGCGCCATATTATCTTTATACAAAATTAAGCCTCCTCTGCCAGTACGATCAAAGATCCTCTAGGAATAAACTCATCTTACTTATCCCGCGGCATTCGACAGCATTGTTCACACGCAGTTTCTCGTACTGGGCACCCAAACTATATAACTGCTTATCAAGTGAGTATAAAGAATATAGCCTAAGCAATTTTAAAAAAAGGTTAAAGATGAGTTTAAAGCAGTCGGATTGCTAAAATTTTACTTTATGCATATCCACAGGTAATTGATTGTTTCCTTTCTCTGATAAGTGTTATATATATATATATATAAGTTTTTTTCTCTCTCTCTCTATAGTTTGTGTCAATGTTTTCCAGGTCGGGTTGAAAAACAGCATAAGCTGACACTCCACCTTTTCGTCACTGTTCCTTTTAAACCAATTATTTTGTAATCGTGTGACGAATAAAGGCCATTTATTATTATTATTATTATCTTCCCAAAAAAAAAACATCTAGCCTACTCTAACCTCAAAATTGAAAATGCCGTTTTTGACAAATGCTCATAGTTGAATTCGTAGGAAACAGGGTGTACTTTTTTCGGACCATGTAAAAAAATAAAGTTGAGGATGGTTTCCCAAAAACGAAACGTGGGCCACAAATTTAAAAACACCATCATAAATTTATATATATATAATTTGGCCAAATTTTAGTTTTTCACAAATACATCAGCAAGCCATGAAATTTTTTTTCCAACGGCCCAAAGATCGCAGCTTTTTTCTAATTTACCCTAAGCCGTATCTCCCACAAATATTGAGATCCTCGTGCATATGGTACTTATCTTGGCCACCCTGTATATCTAATATTGCTGTGTTATGTTACCTTTTTGAGCATTATTTTTCGTAACTTTAGTGGTCTATGGAGGGGAAGTGGTTAAAGATTACCCTTATCTTGATCTCATTTAAAAAGGGCTTTGTTGTGCACCTCTGATGCTTCGTAGTAGCCATGCCGAGTGTGGAAAACATTCTCAGGGCAGACCGTAGCTTATTGATTTGGTATCTAAATAATTTAACCGAACAGTTCAGCTGTTTAGGAACCCATGTTTCAGGGAAATGCAAGTGGATTTCTGGTATTGATCATATATGTGAAAATTTATGATTGTATTTTATATTGTATCAATTACTTGAATTTCCTAGTAGATATGACAGTAGTTCTAACTTACCAGTTGATGAATGCTTGTTCTGCACTGTTATATGGCATAATGATGTGGGAACAATCATGTCATGATAGAAGGCTTTCTCATACAAAGAAATAATAGTTTAAAAAAATTAAAAAACACGCTAGCTAACCGAATTACAAGGTAGAAAATAATTTTTGATTACAATGAGTTTATACTTCAGCAGTAGATGGTCGAACAATCAATCATAATTAATGACCTCAACCCTAACATTTGCAATGAATAAGGTGAGAATGCACTACCTTGAAAAAGTATCTGCCTCCGATGGACTGTGCCGAGTGCTCGACCCAGCAGAGTCTCAAACTGCACGCATGAGCAGATCGCGCATTAGCTCTATCTCTCTTCCTCCCCTACAGAGGATCTATAAAAGAATTTATCTATCCTGGCGATCCTGATAAATATAATGGAAAACTGGTACCAAATTGTTGCATTGGTGCCTTGGTATGTGTGCGAAGTTTCAAATCAATCAAGCTTCTGGAAATTGATGAAAATTATGCTCAAAGATTCCGTTACAAATATACAGGCCAAGCTTGCATACAAGTGTGTTAAAGAAACACTGAAATCCATATCAAACCTCAAAAGAAAGGAAAGTTGCAGGTAGGAATTTGTAAAGTTTGAAATAATTACTTTGCCGGGCACTTATATCAATGCGAGCAGTAAGACCTTAGGCAACTAAATGTTAGTACCAGGTATTCAGTGAAAGACATCTCCGTGCTTGAAATTCCCAAACCTTAATGTGTTCAAAGCAAAACTGAGGTCTTTATTGATAAAAGAGCGTGTTATCCTGTTGATTAATACCTTTTAGACATGAACATCTGCCACTAATATGTTCACATATTTGTGTAATTTCAAATTATGGTTGTGTTTGAGATGCGCTATATTTTTTACTTTTTTTCAATGTCTATGTCATTATTGTGCTTAAGTGGCTTAAATACAGGAAATTCATGAAATTATCAAGTATTTCAATACTGTTTTTATGTTCGTTTCATCACTTTTTGGCGTTTTAATCGGTATGTTTATAAATCATCACGTTTGTAAGAGACACATCAATGTTTTGTATATAGGTTTTCATTTTGACACATTGTGCCATGGTTTACTAAATAAAGTCCATTTTTTGGAACGTCCTGTAAAAAGGGTTTTGACAACATTGTCACATTTGCGAGCTATAAGTTTTCTGAGATTTGTTGGCGAGAAAAAGTTTTTAAAAGATGGAAGTTGACCCAGGAGGATCAACAGACGACGCAGTTCCACATACTATGAGGAAAGAGCTGAGCGGTGGCTGAAACCAAGCAGAAGCAGAAAACATGAGCTCACTGACGCAGATGTCATCGGAGCAGAAAACGATCGAAAAACTGATGCTGATTATAGACGACCAGGTGAGGCAGATTCGAGACCTAATGGAGACCCTCAAGGACCAGACAGCCAAAATTGACAGCCTTACCGCCCAGGTAACCATATTACTAAATTCAAAAGAATCCCCTAAAGAACGGACAATGACCCTAAAAAGACCACTGAGAAACGTTTCCGATGATCATCTCACATCCACAGACGAAGACGTACAGACTGAAGGATTTGTAAAAGCAAAATCAAGAAGGAGGAAAGGCAACAAGGCTAATCGATCAACCCAAGACTTTCCTCCTCTTCCGAATACAGGATCAATTCCATTTCACACCTCCCCCAATTTATCAAATCGAAACACTATTAATGCTTCTATTACCAAGCCAGGGACCACGTTATCTACCTGTCAGGTGACTCCGTCAGCCGATCTTACTTCTCCTCCGTCATCTCGTCCAACCGTCGTGGCATCAACACAACCCTCACGACAAGGGCGCATAACCCCGATCGTCTTACGCGACGGGGCGAAATGGCGTACTTTAAATTTCAAGTTTATTTCCCTAGGTATTAAAATAGATCGCGCTGTTGCCGTCGATGCGGGAATAAGGATTATTCCTAAATCCGAGGACGACTACCGTAAGATCGTTCGCCTATTCCGAGAGGAAGAAGTGCCCCATCACACTTTTCCTCTCCCTTCGGAACGGAACATCCATGCGGTGGTTCGAGGAGTTCCCGTCAACTTTTCGGATACTGAGATTAAGGGAGAACTGGAGCAGAGGGGATATAGCCATCTTCACATCATTCGATTGAAGCGCAGCGGCGGCGCGCCCATGCCTTTGGTGGTCGTGATACTGCCCAAGACTGAAAAGTCTCAGCAAGTGTTCAACGAACACGAACTGCTGGGACTGGACATTCGAGTTGAGGTTCAGAAGAACTCCAGACTCATTGGTCAGTGTCGCCGCTGCCAAAAGTATGGGCATGCGCAGTCATATTGCACTGCACCGCCCAAATGCTTAAAATGTGCAAAGGACCACATGACGCATTTGTGCCCCCTCACAGAAGAGGAAGAACGCAAGTGCGCGAACTGTGGAGAGGGACATCCCGCAAATAGCCGGACTTGCAAGTTCACTCCAAGGAGGAACTTGCAAGTTATAGCGCAAAGGCGCAATATATCATACGCGGACGCAGCTCGGGAGGCAACCTTGCCTGCCCCCTCTGCCCAATCTCCCTTGAGCACGCAAAATGTGGACCTGGCAACCGCGCTAAGGTCCTTACAACAAATAATAAGCCCACTGATTAGCGCTACCCAAGCGCTGCAGGCGATATTTCCTGTAAATGTCTAGGTACAATAGTAGACAGCCTGCATTCATCAAAATTCTTTTTTGGAATTGTTTGGGCATGAGGGATATTCCCAAAAAACGGGAACTTTTATCAAGCTCTTTTGGATCAAGGTATAGATGTGGCCTTGCTGCAGGAAACGTTGCTTAATCCGGGAGATCGTTTAGCTCTCCCGAATTATGATGTTATCCGAGGTGACAGATTGAATCCTGATGACATTCGTAGGGCTACATATCTTGTCCATGAAGTGAGAAACGCACTGCACGAACTCCGCAACGAGCAATGGAGCGACTTTCTGGCGGGAATGCTTGATTCAAGTATTCCTCTCTGGAGGGTCGCAAAGTCACTCAGAAACGGAAAGCGAGAACAGCTCCCACACATCCACGGTCCTGAAGGCATAGTCTTCAGAACGGAGGATGAGGTCGAGGTTTTCGCTGATGCCATGGAAAAACAGTTCTCTCCCAACTATGATCTCGATAATGACCTCGACGAGGAACAGCACATCGTACGATCCGACAGGAGATATTTTAGGGCCAACGGCGTTAGCGGATGCACTGAATCCTCTTCAGATGACTCTTCTTCAGAAGATTCGTCTGAGGCTCCACACAGCACATTAGCGGAACCCTCCGAGTTTCCACATTGCACACCAGTGGAGTTACTAAGTCATATTAAAGACCTCAAGGTGCGTAAAGCACCTGGGGAGGATCAAATCACCAACAAGGCGTTGAAGCTGCTCTCGCCGAAAGCCATGACATACTTGGTGACAATAATCAATGCGACGCTCAAAATCCAGCACTTCCCTGCTGGGTGGAAGATTGCTGAGGTCATCATGATTCCAAAGAAGGTGGGTTCGATATTTCCTCAGGATTACCGTCCCATAAGTCTGCTGTCAGCTCTTTCTAAGCTCGCCGAAAAGGTGATTTATCGTCACCTTGAGAATTTTTCGTCAAATCACCATGTGATTCCTGACGTCCAATTCGGTTTTCGGTCCGAGCATAGCACCGAGCTGCAGGCAGTCAGGCTGGTGGAGCGTGTGACCAGAGGGTTCACCCTTAGCAAGAGTACTGGCATCTTGCTTTTGGATGTCTCAAAAGCCTTTGACAAGGTGTGGCACGCGGACCTCCTCTATAAACTAATCCAAAAGGGTTTTCCTTTTTGGCTTCTAAAATTACTGAAATCCTTTCTTGAAGGAAGGAAGTTTCGGAACAAAATTAACAATGTTTTGTCAATAACACGGCGAGTACGGGCCGGTGTTCCTCAGGGTTCGGTCCTAGGACCAATTCTTTATTCGCTTTTCATCCATGATGTCCCTTCCCCCAGCAACTGTGAAGTTTACTTCTATGCTGACGACACTGCACTTGTCGCCCAGTCGTGTACTGGTGATCTGGTTCACGATGGGTTGCAGAATGCGGTGGACGAAGTTCTAGAGTGGGCGGAACGGTGGCTGATAAAAATTAATCATTCGAAAACGCAGGCTATTTATTGTACCAAAAAACGTCGCGGCCCCCCCAGCAGAGGTTTCTGTAGACGGAAATCGAGTACCATGGACAAATTCTGCCAAGTATCTCGGTGTCACCCTTGATAAAGGCATGACCTGGCAGAAACATACAGTATCCATAAAAACAAAATTCCAAATTGCGTTTCGGCAACTATATCCTTTGTTATGTAGATCCTCCAAATTGAGTTTGATGAACAAAGTTCGACTATATAAAATGATTATTAGACCAGCCATTACTTATGCATGTGCGGCTTGGTGTTTTCTTGCCAAGACACGCATGCAAAGTCTTCAAGTACTGCAAAGCAGAACTTTGCGGACAATTTGCAACGCTCCATGGTATGTCTCAAATGAGACACTACACAGAGACCTTGACATGCCTTACTTGAGGGATTATGTCAAGCTTCAGGCGCAGCGACGTTATAGTCAAGCGGAATCGCACAGCAACCCTCTGTTGCGTGACTCAGTGGACTACACAGTGGAGCAAGTTCGTAAACATTCAACGCCACGGCTCGCACTGTAATCAAAAGTTAGCGTGAATCTTTAGTAAACTCAAAATTACACTCTAACAAAACCGAATCAAAAATTTGTTTAGTTCACCTCAAAATGAATCCGTGTACCATGTCAAAAAGCCTAGGTGTTTCCTCTTAAACTAAGCATATATGTTTTTCTTTGTTCTTCTCCTTTTTTCTTCTCTTTCCCTTTCTCTTTTTCCTTGACTTTGTCTGGTTTCTGGGCAACCAGGACTGACAGATTCGACTAACGTACATCAGACAGTGACTAATGGGCAAAGGTCCTACGGACCGCCCAGACAAATAAATGACGAATAGTATTAGTCCATTTCATTTTCATCCTTCTTCTACTCAAAATCGTTGTAATCAATTTATCTGACATAGCTACTATAGCTTCGACGCTGTGCCTAAACCAGTTAAACATCAAATCTCCAAACGAGTTTTATTTTTACTCACAACTTCTCACCTCGTAAAGATAAAGGTCTTTTTCAATTTGTACGTTTTTTAGGAATAACCAAAAAGAGTAACATTGCATTTGGAAAAATCCTTGAAAATTTCGATATTGTAATTAAGCGATACTAAAAGGATGACTAAAGAGCTAAAATGTCAGAGCTCAGAAACCATTAAGAGAGCTGAATTCTGAACAGAAGTTTTTTGTCGCCATTCCAAAATTTCTAAAATCAGCGAGACGCTTAATTAGTCCTGGCATTTGAGAATCTGGAGAGTGGTAAAGGATTCTGCTCGAAATTCGAAAAGGTATTATTACTGGGGTAAGACAAAAAATGCTGATTCATACTAGAGTTTAATTCGCTGTTATTAAAGTATACACATTTGCAGTCGGTTTCCGTACTAACACTTAAACATTGTCACTTTGAACAAGTTCGTTTCCAGCATCAGACGTTACCATTATCGTTCCTTGATCCTTCTACCTCGTATAGTCGGCAAACCAAATCTGTCTGACGGCTTGAGTTCAATGTGTGCGAGAGAGGACTGTGAATAGGCACACACGTGAGAAAGAGATGAAAGCCGGCTGAATAGCAAAGCTCATCACCGAGTGGCCTAGCAATGCTGGCGCGGCAATCTATCGCATTGCCAATATGTTACACCAGTTCCTTGAATTAAGATGCATGTTAAAAGTATGCGTTACTTTATTCTCCAAATAATGGTTTTATTTTGAGCGCAAACATGTTTGCATTGTGAATTGTCTAGAATCTGCTTAGGATTGATTCCGGATCGGTCCTAACGGTGCTGCATTTTAGATCGAAATGAGAGGTAACGTTCGCGAAAAATTCCGCACTATTGCATCATTGGTTCGCTTGGCAACACCGCATCTCGTACATTCCAAGGCAAGGTTTCCACATCCATGATCATAGATGAATAGATGAGAGACTTCGGTTAGTACCCATCTAGAGCTCATTGGGGAGTGCCGTTCTGATTCGGAACGGAAACAAAATACATATTAAATTAACTGTTCTAACAGACCTTCTTTGACAGGAACCTTACTTATTATAGAAGCCTGTGCAGGCATTTTCTGTAGCGTGGCAGATTGCACGACCTTCTGTGTCACCGTTGCCAGGCAATGTGATGATCACCTTCGCTCTTCAGCCGGCTTCTATCTCTTTCTAACACGTGTTGTTATACACTGTTCGCGCTTCTCTCTCGTGCTCATTGAACTCAAGCTGTCAGACAAATTTGGTTTTCCCTGTATAATAATAATAATAATAATAATAATAATAATGACTTTATTCAAAAGATGATCATAGTATGGCGAAGTTTAGCCATGGCTACTCTACCACTTAACCATACTACAACCAGACATTACAAAACATTAGCATAACAACATGAATCAGTACCTGTAACGAATGCATTAAAAATATATAATATGAACATATACAAAGAAAAGAAACAAAAGAACAAGATATCGTTCAGCAAAATGAATTTATCACTCAATGTGCTGAGTCCAGAAAGTGCAACTTGACTGTCTTCTTGAAGCGCTGCAAACTTAAGCTCTTAGAGATAGCTGGCAAAGAATTGTATACTTTGACCGCATTATAAGTAAAGGACCTTTCAAAGACCGACGTACGATGTATAGGAATGGAAAGTAGATCATTGTGCCGCAGATTTAGAGTAATTTGGTTTCCACGAGGAATCAACTTACAGAGCAAATAGACGGGTTTACCAGTTTTAAAAATTCTATGCACCAATGAAGCCATAGAGTAGTTGTATAAGCCGTCAACTCTGAGCCACTGTAACTCCTTGATTTTTGAAGAAACGCTACTGTACTTCCTAAGCCCAAATATGAATCTGCAACAGTTGTTCTGAAGCTTCTGCAATTTTGACTTGCAAGCTGAGTCTAGGCATGGGTAAATGAGGACTAAAGAGTCAGCTAAAATTGATAATATGAGGCTTTCACACAACTTTTTGCGGCACTTAAAGTTTAGAATATGGCGACTAGAATATAAAAGCTTCATCTTCATATAACTCGACTTCATAATATTATTCACATGTAAGTTAAATCGAAGATCTGAATCAAATATAACACCTAGATTCTTAGCATTATCACAAAATGGAATATCTATGTCGTTGATAAACAAGGAGACCCG